GGCGGGGTCACCGGCGGCGCAGGGAGAGGACTGCGCGGCAGCCCGAGTGGCCCTGCAGTGGGGCTGGCCCTCTCCTTCCTTTCCCCCCCCTCTTCGGAGCCCCGCAGCCAGCGCCGCTCTCTTTCTCTCCTCTGCAGAGGAAGTCGCGGGATCGTGTCCTCCGCGTGGCCACCCTGCTGAAGGACCTGGAGGCCCAGCGGGCCAGGAGGTCAGCCGCTCTCGCCTTCGTGCCCGGCCTGAACTGGCAGGGGCCTCGGGAGGGCTCCCGGGGGGGGGGGTCCCTCCGCCCTGCAGCTGGGGGCTCCAGCACTGACTGGTGGGGGGGGGCAGGGGCTGCCACCTCCCCTCCCTCTGGGCTGCCAGAGGAGAAGGCAGCACCCCAAAGTGTCCTCCTCTCACCTTGGCTCCCGCTTTCTTCTCCCCCCCCCCCCCCCCCCCCCGACAGGAACTGCCCCCGTTTCCGGGCCTCCGGGCGCCTGCACAGGTTCGCCCACCTGTCTCGGGACTGGCTCTTTGAGCTGCCCCTGGAGCTGATGGGCGAGTGGGTGCACGCGGACATGGCTGAGCAGTGGGGGCGCCTGCCCTTCGACGACACCCCCACGGGCGGGGCCCTGGCGTGGGTGCCCCAGGAGAGCGGCACGGCACCTGAGCATGGCGGCTGCCTGGTGTACCCGTCCGGCCAGGCTACGAACCAGCTCTGTATCCTTGCAAGGGGAGGGGAGGAGCTGGAATCGGGTGTGTGTGTGTGTGTGTGAGAGAGAAGGCGCCTGCTGGGGGAAGGAGAGGGAGCCCTGCCTTGGAGCCCCACCCCCCACCCCGCTGGCCGCCTGGACAGGCAGTGAAACCCTTGCCCCCTTCCCCATTGCCTGCCTTCCGCATGGGCGGCTGAAGGACCCCCTCTCCATTCCCATGCAGTAGCCCTGCAAGACAGATCCTAGCAGCTGGCCCCTCCCACCCTCCTCCTCCTCCAGCCATTCCTTAGCTGCCCCCCTCCCAGGTTTTCAGGACATGGCTCTGAAGCCCACCAGCGCCGGCTCCCTACGGCCTCACAGGAAGGCTGGCCCACTCCCCTGTCTTGACCTCTGAAGCCTGCCATGGAAGCCCCCCCCCCCCCGCCCTTTTCCCCCCCCCCCCCCCCCGTCTCTTCGTTCTCTCCCTCTAAACGCAGACTTCATCGGGGTGCGTTCGGACTATCACTGTGGGCTGTGGAGGAGGCAGCCTGCCGCGGCGCCTGCACCCCTCCAGGTCGTCAGCACGGACGCGGCCTGCTCCTCCATCGCGGTCAGGTACGCCCTGTTGGCTCTCTGGGGAGAGGCCGCTATTCAGCACGGTGGGAGGCAGTCGATCCGTGGCAGGCAAGCGGTCCCCGTGGGGGGGGGGGGGGGTGGCTTCCCCCCCGTTCCCCCGCCCCCATTGGAAG